GGGGCAGTCGGCCTGTGCCGCCAGGAGCCGGCGGCCTCGCCGAGCAGCCACGCTCCGTCAGGCGTCAGGACGGTGCCGACAGCCGTGCACAGCACCCTTCTCGGCTCTCCTGTCAGCCGCTGTTAACTCTGCAGTTTCCAGAGGCTGCAAGCACTGGTGGGGGTGTCTGAGCATAGTGACGATTATCGTTCCGGTCCGTACGAGCAGACGTTGTGTTTGCACGGCAGTCGGGATACTGGGCGGATGCACCGAGTGGATTGTTGACGTCACATGGATAAGCAAGTAGTTTCTTGAGCTTCATTCTCCTTCAGAGTTGATTTTTATGCCGTGTTCAGATCTCCTATCAAAAGACACATAGTCTAAAATAGAAAGAGAATTTGGGGACCAAATCACAGCAAAAGCAAATTTGATCTTTTCTGTGCAGTGAGGCTTCCCCGGCCTGCTCACGGTCATCTCAGTTTGCAGTACTTACCGACCGGAGAGTGCGCCTGGGCCTTCTCTGACTGGTGCTCTGGTTGGAGCATCTTGCTGGAGTATCTGGGAATAGGTCAGGTGTGACGGACAAGGGCCTTCTGACGCAGAAGGCGGGGGAGTGGCTGTAATGTGAGATTTGGAATAAGTACCAGAGCTGCTTTGGAAGGCTGCTGTAAAGGACAAGATGTCTTCGTTCTGTACTGTTAGGTTTGTAGTGGAGATGGGCAGAACCATCCAGATTGTCTTAATATATTTGGAGAGTGGCTAAAAAAGTGGTTGGAAGTAGCATGTACTTGAGTATAGTACTAGGAACTTTAGGGTATGATGTGATTGATGTCAGCTTGCTTTCTTCTGTAGCAAGTTTTGCTTCTGCTCTCTCATAACTCTCTCTCTCTCGCATCCTGTAGGCACTGGGGAGAGTGGAAAAAGCACGTTCATTAAGCAAATGCGTATAATTCATGGCTCAGGCTACTCTGAAGAGGACAAAAAAGGCTTCACCAAGCTGGTGTACCAAAACATCTTCACTGCCATGCAGTCGATGATCAGGGCCATGGAAACCCTGAAGATTCTGTACAAATATGAACAGAACAAGGTAAGTTTTTCACAATTTTTGCATCTGTCTTTAGGCAGTGGGGATTCTAGGGTTTGACACCTAAGTTCCTGTTTGTGTCCTACAGCACTGCAATCTCAACATCCCTGAAATCTTTCCCATAAATATTTTGTGCCTGAGGACTGCTTTTTATGACATTTTGTTGACATCTGATGCCATTTACTTGGTTGTGCTAAGGGACAGAATAACTTTCTCAGGATGTTTTGTGCACTGGTCTGCATGTGGTGGGAGCAGGGGATTGGGATACAGTATAGAGTGTAGGAGACGTGTTCTTTTTACCCATTTCAAGGATTCAGTATTGTTAAACGTCGGGCTTTTCCTTGCACGAGTTACTATTCACATCAGAACTTGAAGGTGACAAAGTACATGCTGGGTGCAGAAGACTCCTCTGCTGGTAGTTTTCACTCTTGCTGCAGTCCATCAGCCTGATAGGTACTGACCAAAGGTACAAACCTTCCGTGAATGGTTTTGGTTTCGACTATAGAAATGGAATTTGAGCTGAAGACTGGCTTACTGATTTTTTTTTTTTTTTTTTTTTTTTTACAAAAAACCAAAACCAACCCCACTTTTCCACACACACACACACACACACACACACACACACACTCTTTCTCTCTCTCTGCCTTTGTTTTTTTTCTGCTTTTCAACCTTCAGGCCAATGCAGTGCTGATCCGGGAAGTGGATGTAGAAAAGGTCATGACATTTGAGCAGCCGTATGTAAGTGCCATTAAAACATTGTGGAACGACCCTGGAATACAAGAATGTTATGACAGAAGAAGAGAATATCAGCTTTCTGACTCAGCTAAATAGTAAGTATATAATCACTGGCATGCACTGGTAGATGGTAGTGATGATCTAATAATTTTTTTTTTTTTTTATTGAAGGGTAGAGTTTGTTTGAAAGAGCAGGATCACTCCTGTAGATTTCACTGTGTGGTTTAAAATACCTTTTATCTTTTTGGATGAGTGTTGCTAATGTTTTAGACAAGCTGCATAGTCTCTGTTGGCTACATGTGTGTTGTGGGGTAAAAACCTTAGGCACTTTGCCACTACCAGCCAGAAGTATCCTTAGGAAAAGTTAAGATGAAGGAGCGGTGGGAGTAGGTAACTGGTAACTTGTTTGAATCTGGCTCCAGAAAGGCAAACAGCCTTGCTGGTGATGGAGGAAGCTGTGTCTGTGTGAGGATAGATTTAGAAATTTCTTGCCATTTGCTACTTTTCCTGAGGGTATGAGGTGTTCTGGTGGGTGATAAAGACAGTTGTTCACACATCTGCCTCTAAATAGACCTGAGGCTAGAATCTCTACCTTATACCATCTGGGCTGGTCCTGGCTTTTAGACAACAGAAGTGTTGCTCTTTCTCTTCAGGTTTGTTCTTTGGCTTACAGATATATGTGGATGTACAACTTAATGGTCGTAATAAAATCTAAGTAGGGTGACATAGGTTTGTTTATAAACAGAAGACCTCAAATGAGAGTTGATTCTGAAACTTAAGCATCCACTGTACTTAAACTTTCTCCATTGTAGTAAAGATCGTCTTACACACTTGCTATACAACGTTGATAAAGCTGTCTTTAATGTATCTGTTTGTCCTCCAAAGTGGATGGCTGGTGAATTACTGTTCCCCAAAGATGTATTCTCTTGTTTTTCCACATCATATTTTGGATGGTTCAGGTGACTGCTGATTTCCTTGTTATGTTGGGTAAGGACTAAATGTAGCAGTGTTTAAATCTGTGTATTTATGTGCTGCAACCTAAGGTAGTATTTTTTCCATTCTGCTTCTTGTAGCTATCTGAGTGACGTGGATCGTATTGCTACCCCCGGATATCTACCAACTCAGCAAGATGTGCTACGGGTTAGAGTTCCTACAACCGGTATCATAGAGTACCCCTTTGACCTAGAGAATATTATCTTCAGGTACTGGGAGTGTATTCCTGTTACAGTGGAACTGAGAGCAGTGATACGGTTTCAGGAGGGATGAGTTCTGGATTGCTTTAGAGCATCCAGGGGCTTGGTTGAGAGGCTTGAGTGGATGTATGTGCTGTAACGTTATGAATTATCTGCTGACAGGTGTTTTTGTAATGGGGATGGTGTAACATTTTATTCTGATTAAGGGAAAAGTCCAAGCTGAAGCAGCGACTGTCACAAAACAGAACATGCTTTTGAATCGGTGACACTCAACGTCCAACTAACCATCTTGCAGGAGTTGATGTCCTTCCTGAGGAGGATTGCATTGCTGCTATCCAGGGCTGGAGTGGTGGCTGTTGAGGCAGCCAAATGAACTGTTGGTAGCCTAAGCCACCAAGGGGAAGGGGGGAAAGCCTGATCTGAGCAGTGCTTGACTTGAAATGTATTTCCCTTAGCTCAAGCAACTTTGACCATTTGTTTCTCATTCAGAAAGTCACCACTTTTTGTGCAGAAATACTTCCTTGTATGTGACCCCTAGCATCTGCCTTCAGACATGGTTTTCTGTGCCTACCTTGTGCTCTCAGGATGACACCAAAACTTGCTGCCTATGCTACTACAGCAGTAGATGATATTTGGAGGCTTAAGACAGCAGTTGGGCATGACATAAAGGGCACAGTGACAGGCCTGCCTTGGAAAGCAATTTCCTCCCAAGCTCTCTGGTACTTACATGCTCCCTGCCCTTCTCCACCACAGTATTCACATTACCAGAAAGGAATAAAGCTACCTGCGTCGGCTCTCTTAACTCATTCAGTTATAGACATACAGAAAGTTGCTGTCCCTGTTCTGGTTTGCTGACCCATGAAATGGGTACAGGGTTTTATCAGAGGTGGACTGCGTGAATTGCACTTGAGGTGAGGGACAAAATAATTTGAGCGTATTATACAGGTAGGACTTGAAACTGAGGAGCTGCAGTGAAAAGCTGTTAAACAGCATATTCTAAGAGAAGTTTAATATCGGAGGAAAGCTATCTGCAAGAGAAGTATTGAGGCAAGCAGGTGTTTAATAAAAAACAGAAATAGTATGTTCATTTTACTGAGTAGAGTTTTGAAGGACTTGCCTTTTCAGACTCAGGACTATTACTTAGCAGAATGCAACTGAAAATGGTAATGTTGATATTTGGGATCTGAATTTAGTATCGCTTGCCTGTGGCCATGTCTTCAGTTTGTATTTCTGGAACAGGATATTTTGTAAACTTGATGGTTTTGTTGGCAAGCACCTATTACATCCCCATGCCAGGTTAACTTGAATGGTCAAGGGCTACATTTTTTCTCATTGTATGCTGATCTGTTACATGCAAATAGAGAACTGCAGCTACTTCTGTGATGCTGTACTTTTCCTCCTTAGAATGGTGGATGTTGGAGGTCAAAGATCAGAACGGAGGAAGTGGATCCATTGCTTTGAAAATGTGACTTCCATCATGTTTTTAGTAGCACTTAGTGAATATGACCAGGTTCTGGTGGAATCTGATAACGAGGTAAGTCAAAGAATGGGATCTGTACAGAAGGATGGGAGGAAAGGAGGAATGACTTTCTAGCTTCTCAGAGGTTGCTACCAAAGTGCTTGGTGCCAAGTTAGGTTAGAAAGTATTGTTTGTTTTGGCCTTCAGTTCTTTCTATTGCAAAGGGAACACAAGCCTCAGTGGGTAATGATGTCCCTGAGGATGGCAAAATGCACAGTGCCTTCAGATAATCTGCACTTCTCAAGTAATACTGACATACTCTGAAACTGCTGAGTTCTGCATGCCTTGGAAGGTACTGTGTGCCATGTGACGGCATGCTCTTCCATCAGCCATTCCTCTTCTCTGCACTGACTTCATGCTGCAACTGCTGTCTTGTTAGATGGTGACTGGTCTCTTTGAAGGCGTGATACTGAATTTTTGCAGTTGGTAATAGATTTTAAAAATGCCATTAGGCAACAGCAGTTACTCCTTTTCTACTAGACAGAACATGTTCACACAGTATCATGGCCAGTCCTCTCATGTGACTGTCAAACCATAAAATGACTTTTAAGCCTTTTGATATGAATGGCTTGCCAATTAAATGAAGCTTGAGTCCATCAAATTTTGGATTTCCTTTCTGCTAACCAGTGCAGCTTGAGCCAGAACCTACCTGGGGCCAAAGTATTCCGCATACAGTGTCTGAGAGGTTGGGCTGATACAGATCGGAGTGTGTGTCCAGGTAGCAGAAAGGCATCTTATTGCTCATTTGTGAAAACAAGCCTTTCTTTTTCTTATTTCAGAATCGGATGGAAGAGAGTAAAGCTCTCTTTCGAACCATTATCACTTATCCATGGTTCCAAAACTCTTCTGTTATCCTCTTTCTCAACAAGAAAGATCTGTTGGAAGACAAGATTCTATATTCCCACCTTGTTGACTATTTCCCAGAGTTCGATGGTGAGTGTTTTTTGAGCAGAACACTCAGTATTTAAAGGAAGGGATGGAGGTGATTTGGTTAGATTTTTTTGTTTGTTTTTTTGAAGAAAACTCAGATCTAGAGATGGGGAAAATTTGAGAAGGACTACCTCCAACAATGAGAAAATGTCAGAAAAACATCTTGGTCATATGTAGATAACTGGAATCAGAATGTTCAAATAATGAACATTCTCTCCCAGATGAAGAATTGCACACCCCCCCATGCACTTCAAAGTGTTAAATGATGGTAGTCTAACTTTCCTACCTGTGTGCTTGTGGATATAAACCATTTCAGAAACATGTGACAGTTCACTGGTATACTGGGCATTTTAACCTCTAGCTAAACATTGACTTGAATCCTCATTTTGAGAAACTAACTGGTCAAATATCCAAGATATTGAAATGGTAGTGCTGAAAAATCTCGGGTAGCATGGAATTCTTAATAGCATGCCATCAGCAGTTGTGGACAAATAACATCTATGTGAAACAGAGCCGTTGCCATCCCAAACAAAATCCTTTAGCCAAAAGAGCATTTCAGGGTCTTCAGTTGAATGCATTTAAAGTTGGCTGGTAACACATCTGTACAGGGCTGAAAATAAATAACTGTACTGGAGAATTAGGTCTTGCCCTGCTCTCGTGTATTTACTTTGTCATTATGTGCTTTGAGAATTCAAGGTGAAGGAAGAATTGCCATTTTGCAAACAGTTTTTATCTTTTAAAGAACTAATGATGTTGCTCCTTATTAGCTGTCCTCCCATCTCTGGGCTCCATGTCCCCTGCTGTCCGATAGCACACGCACTCTGAAAATTGTCACTGGTGGGAAAGATCAGGTTTTTACTGCAGGCTGGGGATGGCTGGTCAAATAGTGTGTACTTCTAATGTGACTTAATGCCTGGGGACAGGATCACAACATCAGGAAGTGTCGCACACTTTCAGTTTTTTCATACAAGCATTTACTGTAGCTCCTTCAGGGCTGCGACACAGCTTGTGAGTGGGTGATGGCTCCTCAGACCTCCTCTCAGGAGATGGTCCTTGCTGTGGAGAATGTGACAACACCAGTACTGTGAAAGAAGTACCGGTAGATTACTTTTTTTTTTTTTTTTTTTTTTTTTTTTTTTTTTTTTTTTTTTTCTGAAGACTTGTCAGCAATTTGAAGCAAATACTGGCAAAAAATAGCCAAGTTTTAGCTCCTGTGAGTTGACCAGACAGGACAGACTGCAGTTTTGGCCGAAGGAGACTCTTGTTTGTAAAACCTCCACTTGTGTCCTTCAGGGCATAAGATCCACCTGTATATTAGGAAAAAATATACATCCTGTCTCCAGAGAACAGTATTGTGTTCTGTAGATCCAGCATCTGTCACTGTCATCTCATAAACATGCATGGCACACACAGGGTTATACCAAATGCTGCATATCAAAGCACAGTCTGAAATGACACCTTGTCAAAATGCTTTTCCTTGGGTTTGGTTAGATAACTGAAAAGCATAAGACACTTCAGCTTCTGGGACTTTTATGCAATGAATGATCTTAATTTCTCCTTTATAGCTCTGTAACCCATAAGAAGTGTGCTAGCAAGTATTCTGATGGATCAAACGGGGATATGCTTAGCAGAATCCATTAACTGGTTTCTTTGTTTGCTGCAGGCCCACAGAGGGATGCACAGGCAGCCCGTGAGTTCATTCTCAAGATGTTCGTGGATTTAAATCCTGACAGCGATAAAATCATCTATTCTCACTTCACATGTGCCACAGACACAGAAAACATCCGTTTCGTCTTTGCAGCTGTCAAGGACACCATCCTACAGCTCAACCTGAAGGAGTACAACCTGGTTTGACCTGCTCCGCTCTTGGCCCCTTGAGAGGCTTCATTGTGAAGAAAAGACAAAAAAAAAAGAAATTTTAAATACGACAGGAAAAGTTTTAATTTTTGATGATGTAATGATTGCAAATTGTCTGATCTGTGGAGTGGCAAGTGCTCAGTGTTATCCTGGAGTCTCATGTCTCTGTCCACAGAGTAGTTGATTTCATATTTTTAACAAATTGCTTTTATTTCACAGTTAACGGGGATATGCCTCATTTCTTCTGCACCTTGCTTACTTCTTAGTTTTTTGCCAGACAGCTAAGGCAGTCTCATCTTGAGCTTTTCTGTGTTGCTTAGCCACTTTTTTTCCCTTCTCATTCCCATGGTATATATATTAAAAAAAACAAACAAACAAACAAAAAAAAAACAACCCAAAAACAAAGGAAAAAACCCAAACCCACAAAAAAACAACTTTCCAGCTGAGATTGTGAATTCACTGGACTGTGGGAGTGCAGAATGCTACTGGTCCCTTTGCCTTGTGCTATGGGGTGCCTCTGGTGCAAGTTGCTAATCCTGCTTGCTTCCCCCCAGCCCCTTCTTTCCCTTCCCCAGGACATGCTCCATGGTTCACTGTGATGAAACGTTGGGGAGGAGCGATTGCTCTCCAACTGTTGTGCAAAAAAAAAAAAAAAGGCAAAACAAACCAACAAAAAGCCATCACTTTTCCATTCTTTATATGTTCTAGTTCTGAGTTATTTTTTCTTATCAATTATAAAAGGTATGGAGACTGTGATTATTTTTTTTTTTAAATTATTGATGTTCTATACATAGTTTGCTATGTGTTGCTGTATTTTGTTTATGGACTACAAATGGTGAAAGCTCTTGGAGCAATAGCTGCTGAGCCTGGGGAAGTGCCTGACTTAAATTGTTCTTTTTTTTTTTATTTTATTTTGTTTTCCTTTTTTTTTTCACACACATACACACACACACGTGCCCCCCCCAAGCGCATCCACACATGCCCACAAGGCTCAATTTGCAGAGAGAAACTGTTTTGTTGAGTAGAATATATGACATCAAGTGAGCAACATCTCTATGCAGCAGATATCAAAAGCACACTGAGTAATTGTGGCATTTAAACATCAGACTTTGGGTGGATTGAAAATATTATTCTTGTGCCATCCTCTAGTTCTTTTCTTGCTGCTAGTAGCAAACAAGCCTCGTTTGTTGCATTTTGTGCCAGTGTGTTGACTGATTTTGTAAGCATTCCTCAGTCCTGTCCAGCTTGTGGATATTTAGAAGGAATTGGAGTTGATGAGTGGCAAACTTAGGGATGTAGGTGTGATTCTTAATTGAAGAGACTGAGGATAGCTCTTGGAGGAGGGAGTGGCCATTTCTCTCCTGGTTTTGCATTCCCCTGCAGCACATGCTGCTGCGTTTCTCTTTAGAGGAGCTGGGATCCTCCTTGGAAGACTTGCACAGGTACTTGCTCCAGGGTGCATGTGATAATCAAGTTACAGCAGTTGTGGCTGGAGCAGGTGGCTTCTATGGAATCCAGAAGGCCCTGCTGTGGTTGCACTTCGATTTATCAGGAGAGTAGAGGCAGGCAGCAGGGTTGCTGGTGCAGGCAGAAGGTAGAGTGGAAGCAGTTCTGGATTCTAGATACCAAATGAAACTCCACTAAGCAGAAAGATGTGAAGCCTTTGTACATTAGAGAGCTTTTTCCAGGAGTTGAGGCAAATGAATAAATATGCTGAAGACCAGCCTGGAAGATAACTGCAGTGGCAAGGCAAAGAGAGGAGGAGATGGGGAGACCTGACCCACCTCTGGACGCGTGTCATTTTGCCATCACTAATGCTTCTGTTTCAATTCCATCAAGTAGCATTGGGTCCAAATTCTCTGGAGCAACCAGATTCCCCCCTTGAAGTCTAGCAGGCTGCCAGTAGATAAAAGAGTAAATGAGTTGCACTGTTGAAGGGGGCTGTTGATATTTTGTCTCTTTTGTAGACAGAGCACTACATCAGTGTTTTGCACAACATGTAAGAGTAAACCTTAATTGTCTGAGATGCTTAAGATTCTTTGATCTACAACACTAAAATGTGGAGGGACATAATTTTGAGTAGTTCTGTTTATAGGTCCCTCTTATTTTCCAGAATCGCTGAGGGAAGAAGCTTCTGTATGTCTCAGAGCACTACAGAAGCAGGCAAGCTCTGCTAAGTAAGATTAGAGAGCTCAAGCTGGAACAGTAGCCATGGGACCAACAGTTGAAGAGCCAGCCTGGCTGAGTGGTGGTGCTGAGGGAAACACAGCATCTCTTTAGACTAGCCATGCTTTGGCCTGCATTTAACACTTGGGAGGAATAAGAGGGATTCCCATGTGTCAGACAGCTTTGCATCAATTTTACTGCTTTTTTGTCTTTATGCCAAAATGATCCATTTTGTAGAAACTGTCCTATAAAAAGGAATTTATAATCATCTTTGTGTATTCCAAGTGCTGTTCATCTGAAGCAGACGGCAGCACCAGCCTCTTCCGCTTCTGTGATCCTCTTGTAAATGGTTCACACTACAACTATTGCCAGCAACGGACCTGGCACCGAGATACATACAGGTTCTTGGAAGTAACTTCCCAGAAGTTTCTTTTCCAAGGTGAATGATGGTGGTACTTCCACTTGAATCAGATTTGTTTGTTTTATATCCTCCCCTTTAAGAGCTGCTGCCCTGGCACTGGAGGAGTGATCTTGACTTCTGTCTCTTGCAGAGTGACTCTGCATTGTAGTGGGGAGTGGTGGGAGGCTACGGGCACAAGGACTTAGACATGTGCTGTACCCTACTCAGCAACTGCTTGGTGTAGCCTGGTAACTGACTTGGTATGGTGGTTATTGCAAAGGGAAGGGGAGAACTTTATGCAATGGCTGTCTCATGAGTTCCTGAAAACTCATTCTGAGTTAGGGGAAGAATGGATCAGGCTTGTGCACATAATCTGGAATTGTCTGTGGACTAGATAATATGTGAGAAGATACCAGTGTAAGCACATGCTTTTCCTAGCAAGCAGTAGCTTGTGTGCCTCCAGCTT